CCAGCGCCGTATGCGAGGACGGCGGCGGCCTTGGTGAACTCGGGCACACCGGTGATGCCAGCGTATTCTTTGTTTAGGTGGGCGGAGACGACTTTGTCTTCGGCGTCCGGACGGAGGGAAGGACGTATGGCTTGCCCTGGTCGTCACGGTATGCGCCAACCCCTACAACAGCTATCAGCAACGGTGCAATGGCGAAAGGGAAGCTGGCAGCATACCTAAATTGATCTTCTCCTTGAAGCTGTCGGCTTTGAAAGCTTCGGTGATACCTATGTAGTCGCCTCAGTAAAGCACTCCACTCCACTATCGATAGATACATACCCAAGATGGCCTTTGCACGTCCATATTAGATTAGCAGCCCAAGCAATCGATCGGCGTTTGTCTCATATGACTTACATCCTGCTTCCAGTCAGCGAAGAGTTCCTATTACTTGTAATTGGGATGAATTAATACTCACAGGAGGTCCTTGAGGGACATTTGCCCAAGTCGAGGCTTGTCTGAGGGCGACAGCGTTCCGGGCGGCAATGCTCCGGGAAACAGCTTGTCTCGAGGCTATCCGGACGGAAGAGAGCATGTTGAATGAAGGGAGGGAATGAGGGTGAGATTGAGATTGAGGAGGGGTTTATGAGAGGAATGACAATCAATATAATAATCAGAGTCACTAGGTACTGTACAAGTACTGACTCCCACCGCTCGTGGTATTCCTTTTCTCGGAGCTGTGGGGAAGATTTAGCTCTCTTTGCTTAGGTACTAACTAGAACGAGGCACGTGTGGCTGTGGGGACGGCATCAGTCCATTTGCGGGAGATCTCGGGACGACATTCTTCTTTTCACTGCATTACTGCTTACAGTACTGCTTCCTGCTTCACTTGATTAATATCAAAAGCATCAAAAGCATCAAGATTCGAGAGTGAGTCGAGGCGAGTCTTTGGTGGTGAGAATAAGAATCATCGGCTCAAGTGAGTGAGGCACTGTATTAAGACCTCAATCGGCTGGCTAATAAGGTTGGTCCTGGTGGTCAAGGCTGCAACCTACAGACGGCCACTTCCGCAATGATTTATCGAAGTGCATCTTATTCTCCTATTTAGCCCGACCCTTAAAAATCGTGCCATATATTACTTTTGACGTCTTGAGAACTCTGCAAGTCTTGTTGACACCTTCTCTTTGACAGACAATCATGGCAATGGTACCTCGTAAAGCAATTGTGGTTGGAATTAGTGGATGTTCGAGCAGTGGCAAGACGACTCTCAGCCGTCTTCTGAGAGATATCTTTCCCAACACCTTTGTTCTTCATGAAGATGATTTCTACAGACCAGAGATAGAGTGAGTGCCATATACAATCTTTTGTTTGTTACTACTCATACAAGCGAATCCTATTTATTATCTCACAAAATATCCCTTGCTCCCCCACTTTCTAATATTTCAACTTTACAAAGTCGGTCTACTTGAACAATGTTCTAGTGACTGACAATTTTCAGACTCCCCAAGAAACATGACCTCCTAGATTGGGACTGCGCAGAATCCCTAGATATCCCCGCAATGGTCAAATCACTTGAGCACATCCGCCGAGATGGGACGTTTCCGGTTAGCCCCTAAACCTCCAGTGTACAACGCTCTCAGTTGACACTCACCCGCTCAGCCAGATCTGGACTCCAAAGAGGACCAAAACTCACTTGGCAAATGTCCTGTGCCGGATACCACCATCGAGGCCCTGAAAGCTCGTGTAAAGAGGTGGGCAGAAGCGGGACATCCAGGCTATGGCATCCTAAACTCCTCACCAACTCCCATCCGCCTGTGCATCTTCGACGGCTTTCTCCTGTACTCCAAATCCATGGAGCCGATCCAAGCCAAGATGGACATCAAGTTATTCCTGCGCGTTAGCCACGCCAAAGCGAAAGCCCGGAGAGAGGCCCGTAGTGGATATGTGACTCTCGAAGGGTTCTGGGCAGATCCGCCTGGGTATGTTGACAAGATCGTATGGCCGAATTATGTCGAGGACCATGCATGGATGTTTGAAAATGGGGACGTGGAGGGGGAGCTGAAGGAGAAGGTTGTGAGGGAGTGGGATATCAGGTCTCACGAAGGAGGTGTGGACGTGGATATGACGACGACGTTGCAATGGGCAGTTGACACGCTTATGGAACAACTGCCTGTTATTGCGAAGAGCGCATGACATAATACTACAATTTGACACCTGATTAGGATTTCACGATTGCACTTCCTGTTTTGTTTTAGAAACGAGACAAAGAACGGAACACTCTCACGAGAATAACACTTTGTATTTTACCAATTCTTTGTTTTCATTCAGAACATCCGATCTCACATCACATACAGCTCTTTGTTTAGTCACATGCTAATTCACGAATCAGACCATTATTGCCATTCAAGGCGTGCATTTATAGTAAAAAGAACTTTCCATTGTCTCCATCCATCCATCCATCGTATCGACAATCTAATGCTTGCCAATCAAAACAGAGAACCTTCCCAAAAAGAAAAACTCACCAACATCCAGCTAGCTTCATTTCCCAGCTCTCCAGGAGCAAAGGAATCTGATCAGATCTGAACCTCATTCAGCCTTCATTCTAGAGCCCGAAGCCCTTTTCTGAACCCTATATCCCTGCATTCTAGAGCCTGGACCTGTTTTTGGTACTTTTTTCTCCGTCACGCCCCCATAAACACCAGTGTTTCTCTTCCTACCTGCAAATCCACTTCTAGGTCTAGAACTACCATCTTCTGAAGCAGAGTCAGAAGCTACATCTCTACCCTTTGCCCGACTCTTCGGCCCACTTCCACCTGTGAGACGATGGCTGGAGTCAGAGTCTGAGGAAGAGGAAGAGGAGATGAAAGACGCAGAGACAGAGCCAGAGTCGCTGACGACGGGGCTAGGGGTGAAGAGGGTGGGGATAAGGGCATCGCTAATTATGATTAGGAAGGGCATGGCGAAGGCGAGCCAGATTAGCGCGAGCTCGAATACGCGGGTGTCTAGGAAGGGCATTTTGGCTTTGCTTCTTTCTTTCTTTCTTTCTTGTAAGTATTGGGGACTTGGGAATTAGATGTTGTGTTGTGTTGTGTTGTATTGTGTTTAGATAGCTGTGGGGATGGGGTTGTGTGGAAGATATATGAAGACTGGGAATACTGCTGGCTTTTATGACCGCAACAGACGAGTTGTTTATGCACTTTTTTTTTGTTTTTGTTGCGAGATATGAAGTTAAGATTGTTTTCTTTTAAGGATTTGATAGAGAGGAGATGAGAGATGTTTTTAACTGGGATATATCGTGCAGGTAGATGGCAAGAAGCTTGATTTCTAAGGTAGGTCGGTTTCTACTCTTTATTGTTTCATGCACCTTCCTACTTGCGGGCAAACCGCCCTAATGCGGGCCCCAATTCTGCCTCTGTTTCCTGGAGCTTTTTAGTGTCCCGTGTATTCTGAGACTTTCTCAATTCCTCGATTTTCAGCCGTCTCTCATCCACGATATTCCTCGATCCCTTCTTCCGCAGGTATTTCCGTAGCGAAGAGTTCTTTCCTCTCCCGCGATTCTTGATATCGGCAATCGGGTCTGCGTTTGGTTTCTTATCAAGATCCTTCTCCGCCTTTTTCTGCTCTGCGGATTGCGTGTCCAGATTGGCGATATATTCGGGATTCAGGGAAATCATCTCTGGTTGTAACTTGTTTAACAGAGACTTGACTTCGCCTTCCTGTCTTTGCTTAGTGTTCTCGTACGGATTGGCTTCCAATGCGTCGAAATTGGGCTCTCCTGCGCCGGGGACGATGATGGAAGAGAAGCCCTGATCATGTGAGACACCCAAAAGATCCTCATACGGACACCACCTAACCCGTTCTATCCTCTTGCCTTCACCGCCCCATGCCATGTAAGGGCTCTGGATCTTCTCTTGCTCCAATGCATGCTTCGTGAACAGGCCGCGCCATATAGACGTCGAAGTCCCCCATCCGACAGCTGTGAGTCCTCGGTCTGATATCGCTACTGAGGATGCTGGTTGTCGTGTGAAATAGCTGTTAACCTCTTTGAACATTCGGATATCCCAGACCGACATCTTTAGATCTTGGCCTGTGGAAACCATATATCTGCCTTCTCGGTCAACTGCAAGCGATCGTACTGGACCACGGTGTGCGAGCAGCTTCACTAGAGGTGTGGTAGAATTGGGTGACCAGAGCGTGACGGTACCGTTCTGGTGACCCATGTGGAGGATGGCATTTTGAGGGTTTTGAGTGAGGGAAGTAGGTGAACCGAGCTTAGTAGGTATCTCGATGACCATTTGGCCAGTAGAGACGTCTTGATACTTTAAATATCCTGGATTGCCCTGCAAGAAAGTTAGGAATAGCTATGAATGGTTTAAGGAAGACAGAAAAAGCGGACTCTTGATGTGTCAAGAGTGAGACATTAAAGTTGATGCCCATAAGTGCTGCGTGAATGGGATACGTACGACTGTTGCTAGGAGGTAATGGTAAGGGAGAAACTCCATGTTGGTGACCTCAATATGCTTCTTCAAACAATGTACCTCCACTCCAGCCCGGTCGTATATGTAGACGTATTTCTTCTGTGCAACCGCAAACATTTGGTTATTATGCAGCCATTTCGCATCTCGAACCGTTTCTCCTAATTGCAACTCGCAACCCAGCTTTCCTTCTCGCCAATCCATCGTTGCAACATGGCCTTTTCTACCTCCAAGTAATAGATCCCTTCCATTTTTGGTATAATCGCAAACATATGGTCCCAAAACATCCAGTTTGAGGTCAAATCGCTTCTTTGCCGCCTCGATTGGTACATCACGAATGATATCGTCTTGCCGCACTTTATATGTTCGCTCTAGCGACGTCTCGGGTTCCAGAAAGCCGGATGTGTTCTCATGGAGGATCTCAGAATCTTTCAATCGGAGTGTAGCATCTTTATATTTCGATTCGAGGGATTTTAAATTGCCCCGTAGCTTCTTATCCCGGATACCCTTCACTGTACTGGCATATTAGCAACGATCAGATAGCTAGGAGAATATCCCACAGCTTGTGAGACTTTCTCGGAATGTACAGGCAACGTACCATGGATTTTGCGACCCCGTCCGTATTCCTTCTCGGCCTCTTTCCGTCTCTGAATCTGCGCATCGGTTGGGCCAGCCAGTTCTGTACGGGCACGTTTTATAGCAATGGCACCATTGTTGGAAGTTGCTTGAGAGTCTCTCACTTGTTGTGGGTGGTTTTCGTCCATATTAGAATTGGTTGTGGTGGTAGTGAGTGCAGACTGTCCAGACCATGAATTTCCTCAGTCAAGATGTTGATTTTTGGAATTTTTTAATGCCAGACTTTCTTTCTTATCTTATCGGATCGGGTTAGCGATAACATAATTTTTCCCCCACCACCAAAGATTGTCTCTAGACAGTGCCACTGAATATTCATTCCAACACCTATACTGTCCAACCTGGCTTCTATACCCTTCAGATTCAAGGCCGGTGGTAACGGTAGCGCCAGCACCACCAATATGCCTTCCTCTATCACTTCTCACTCTCACCGGAGCACCACAAAAGCCTCCCAAAAGCCCTTCAAGTCTCGCAAAGCCACGAAGAGCGCTATAAAAGAAATTCAAAAGGGTATTTATTTGATCCAGTCCAGGTCCGATCCTTGAAGAACTACAGATTAATAAAATCTAGGCAAGGTGCAAGATTTATCTCATCGAAAGACTCCCCATCAGGCACTCATGTCCAAATTCGATCGTCGAAACCAAGCCCGTCAAAAGCAGCAGGTGAAACACAAGGAACACATGCGAGAGACGAATGTATTTGCTGGTCGAGATGGAGCACCAAGGATAGTCGCCGTGGTCCCACTATGCAAAGATGGAAATGCTGCGGCAGCTGTCCGAGCCCTCAGTAGTAGTCTTGATGTCGAAATCGAGGTTCCCGAGGAAGGAATCGTGCGGACCGACATCGACCGATTTAAGCAGAAGATGCAATATGTTGTTGCGAAGAGGGATTTGGTGACATGCTTGGATGCGACGAGAACTGCCGATTTCGTTATATTCATACTCTCCCCGGATCAAGAAGTCGATGCGCAAGGAGAGCTTATTATTCGTAGCGTTGAAAGTCAAGGCCTCTCCACCCTCCTGACAGTTGTCCAAGGCCTTGACAAGGTTGAACCTGTTAAGAGGCGAACACAAGTTCTTTCTTCGTTGAAATCCTACATTACACATTTCCATCCGGACCAGGAGAAAGTACACAGTCTAGATTCGAGACAAGAATGTGCCAATTTGATGCGCTCACTCTGTACGACTACGCCAAAAGGTGTACACTGGAGAGAGGATAGGAGTTGGATGCTTGTGGATGACGTTAAGTGGCCAGAGACCGAGCAGGAAAATGTCGTGATCACTGGAATTGTTAGAGGGAAGGGACTGAAAGCCGATCGATTGGTTCAGGTTGGCGACTGGGGAGATTTTCAGATTGAAAAGATCGTTGCTGCACCTTTAGAGTCAAAAAAGCGACGGACGGATGATATGGCAGTAGACGAACCAGAAAAGGTTATGGATACTCCAACTGAAGATCAGGATGATCTTGCCGAGTTGAATCCCGAAGAAGTCATGATGGAAGACGATGTGGATGCTGCCATGTCAGTTGCGACTACAGAAAAGCGAGGAGTATTATTGGATGACCACCACTACTTTTCAGACGACGAGACCCATTTACCAGCGGTTCCTAAACGACTACCAAAAGGAACATCAGCATATCAAGCCGCTTGGTATTTGGGCGACGAGTACTCGGATTCTGGCTCTGACTTTGAGGACGTGGATGAACAGGGCGATGTTGACATGCACGCACCAGTACTCCCCCAGGATGGTGTTGAAGGTTTTGCCCCACGAGAGCCCACCGAGGCCGCTCCTTCAGAATATCCACAATCCGAGATGTTCCTCGACCCAACACCGGACGATGAGGCAGAACAGCTTGCGGCTTTTAGAGGCCGAAAGGGTGACGAGGCTGAAGACGATCGAGAATTTCCCGATGAGATAGAGCTACATCCCCACGTATTAGCTCGTGAGCGTTTGGCAAGATACCGCGGGCTCAAAAGTCTCAGGTCTAGCCACTGGGAGGAAGACGAGGACAAAGCACATGAGCCAGAGGAGTGGCGCCGACTCCTGCAAATCTCCAATTACAAGGCATCGAAGAGTCAGGTTACTCGTGAAGCTCTAATTGGCGGAGTTGCTCCAGGAACTCGAGTCCATGTGTACCTCCGCAATGTTCCTCTGTCGCTAAAATCCTCTTACAACCCCTCCACCCCACTCAACCTCTTCTCTCTTCTTCGTCATGAGCACAAGCGGACTGTGGTCAACTTTAATTTCACCCTCAGCTCCGACTACACAGAGCCAATCAAATCAAAACAAGAAATGATAATGCAATGCGGTCCCCGCCGCTTTGTCATTAAGCCCTTGTTTTCGGAAGGTGGCAATACGTCCAACGATGTTCACAAATTTGATCGATTCCTACACCCAGGGCGTTCAGCTATAGCAACATTTGTTGCTCCACTCACATGGGGATCTGTCCCAGCTCTGTTTTTCAAGCCCAACACTGAGCTAGGCGCAGAAACCGCCGTGACTCTCCTGGGAACCGGTACCTCTCTACCGCCGTCCTCGAGCCGTGTCATCGCCAAGCGTATCATTGTCACTGGGCACCCGTACAAAATCCACAAGAGGCTTGTCACGATCCGGTACATGTTTTTCAACCGCGAGGACGTAGAGTGGTTCAAGGCCCTGCAGCTATGGACCAAGCGAGGAAGAAGTGGTTTTATCAAGGAGAGTTTGGGTACGCACGGATACTTCAAAGCGACGTTTGATGGGAAGATCAATCCTCAAGACTCGGTCGGAGTTAGTTTGTATAAGAGAATGTGGCCTAGGACTGCAGAAGCTTGGAATCCATCGATGGTCTTGACTGGTGGTGATGTTACGGATGATATGGAGCAGGAGACAGAGCTCTAACTACGTGGATTTTTGAAAGGAGTTTCGCCGGGAACGCAAAATGGGGGAATCGAATCATAGAGACATGAAAAGCTTATTCCGTAGACTTCTGATTCTAGATACCACGACGAATATATTTGTCCAAATCACTCACCCACCGTCTTGATTCTATTGACTCTCGCCAAACTCGACTCTATCACTTTAATTGAGAAGTAAGATAATATGGCACTGAGCCCGGAGACTGAATCCGGCATTGCACCATATAGCATTCAACGCAATACTACGTAAGTCGTTTGATATCTACATCTCCAGAATCTCAATGTTCTAGTGACATACGCGTATATCCTATATAGCATACGTATACCAGCGCACTTCTCAATTTCTCTTTCTTAGCGCCCGCCCCGCCCCGCCCCGCCCCACTCCACTCCACCCCCTAAAATCCAGGGGTTCGCGTCGCCTCCATTGGAAACCCTGCAAAGGCCAATGCGTGCAAGGCTGAAGCTGCGCCTCCTCCTCACGAGGCAGCAACATCATTTCATTTCATTTTCATTTTCACTTTCCTTCCCCTACTTTCTCTCTTGCTTCTCTTCTCCTCACATTTAACAGCATTCATTAATCCTAACTTCCCCTCCTCCTCCTCCTAATCCATCAACCACTCATACCCCACAATGCCCATCCGTCTCGGCGACCCAGAAGCTCCCACCAGCAGCGGGAACGGGCCCTGGAACAACTACGCCCTGGTGACTCTCTGGATCCTGCAATTCGGCACTGTGGCGTTTTTTGAGGTTTCTTTGGGCATATATGTATTGATTCTGGGGGCTTTTGGGGGGACTGGCTTGATGTATGTACACGAAATATCTTCCATTGATGACATCCCCTTCTCTTTGCTATTCCATCCCATCTAATAAACAAACACACCAAAACCAAAACCTGAAAAGTCGGAACTTAAACTAACACAACCCCCAAACCCACAGATTACTACTCCCCCTCTTCCTCCTCACCCTCTCCATCCTCGCCGCCATTATCGTCGAATGGCGGCACCTACACGCTGAAACGCTTACCTCGCAGCTCTACTACCGCTTCCAGGTCGGCAAGAGCGCGTATTTTCTGTTGCTGCTGGTGCTGCTAGTCGTGCCCGCGTTGAAGAGCGTAGAGTTTTTTGCGGTTGTGTGGAGGTTTGGGATTTTTGTGTAAGTTATTTTTTCTCTTTTTTCATGTTTTTTTCTTGGTTGCTTGGGTATTTGGGAGGGCTAGTTTGTTGTTAAGTGGTTGGTGGTTTGGTGGAGAGGGGGATGGGGATAGGATGGGGTGAGTAAGGAGGGAGTAAGAGGAGAGGGTATTTTGATTTTTGATTTGTAGCGAACAGAGCTGACGTAGCGGGGTTCAGGGCGCCGTTTTGGGGGGCATTGTGGTATGCGTATGTGGTGAGGAGGGACGATGGCGGGTTTGAGGGGCAGGGGATACGGGCTTTCTGGTAAATGGAGGAGTGAGAGGGCTTCGAGTGGGACGGGGATAAATGCGCATCTGGAACGCGATGCGATGCGTTGGGTTCGCTCTGTGGAGTTGTAATGGCGTAATGTGAAGTTCCCACGGAACTATTGCCGATATATACCTTCTGGGAATTGCCTCTGTGTCCATCCCTACTCGTACTTTTCGCGCCCTAAGTGAATCAAAGTTCCATATGAGAGACAGGACTAAAGACAGCAGGGAAGAAGTCGACGGTGGTTGAGAAGAGATCTGGGTAGATGATAGAGCGAGTGCAAAATTCGTCGGCTATGAGAAAGGGGCTATTGATACGCAAAGATGACTTGGTAAGTTTATACTTTACGTGAGTCAAACCCACGATGTATATAAATCCCTCCTACTAACAGTTCCAAAGCGTGAATGTTTTATATATCTACGCCCAGAACCAATCACTATATTCCCAACGGAATCAACTTTATATACCATAAACCGGCCGCAAAGTCTCACCCATCCACTATCTCACCTCCATACAGTACCCTACCACTAAGCTTATCTCGCACACTTACAAAAATGTTGAAATCCAAGCACACCCACAGCGGAATCAAAGAACGCCATCTCCGCGACGGCTACCGCAACATCTTCAAACCCGAGCTCTTCAGCAGCTCCTCGCTCACCCGGCACGTCGTAGCCTTTTCCAAGCTCCGCGGCCCAGCCATGACGCGCATGCAAGCCAAAGCCATGCACAAGTTCCACCACGAGGATATATACGACCTTTCCGAATCTCGCACGGGTTCAGATATCGAGGTGTTCCAAGCGTATTGCGATTTCTTCGACGATGTGTTTTTCTTCGGCTCGCTAAAGGGGAACTGTATGTTCCATCTCGGAGAGGAAGATGGAGAGGAAAAGGGAGGCGAGACGGCGACGGCGTCGAGGGAGGAGAGCAAGAAGAGGAGGCTGAAGAGTAAGGGGAAGATATTCTACGTGGAGGTTAAGAAGCGGTGTGATATCTACCTGTATGCGCCACAGATGCAGAGTTCGAGTCGCTCGGAACGATTGCTGGTGTTTTTGGGCTCGCTGCTTCATGGTATGGCTCATGCGTTCTTGATCCTCTGGGCTTGTCACCATAAAGAATGTATCGGGAATAACCGTGAGCATAAATGTAAGTGGATGTCCATCTCTTAGACCTACCTACCTACGCCCGATGCAAATTTGGTGGTAAACTCACTCCGGCTCCTGACTTGCATCCCGCTTGTTCCTGACCAAGTAAAAAGGCTGACTTCAGCGTCGTGGCTCAGATCTGTACAACCACAGTAAATACTGGCAAGGTACGTCAAAATCCGAACCCCCCAAGAAAAGCGAGCTCTTGATATGTGCACGCATATATACACAAGCGCCTGTCTCTCTGCCAACAAGACCTAGCCACACCTGAGAAAAACCTAAATCGTACTAACTCATCCCCTCCCCCAAGACATCGCCCACGCCCTCGAGACCGCAGTACGAGGCCAGCACATCGGGCTCGCAGTGATGCTGAACCGAAGCGAGGCGCTAGCACAAGAGTTGCGAAGGACAGGAGGAGAAATACCGGCCGCAGAAGCACTCAGCAAGTGGGACATCGACCGTGCTGCTCTAAAGAGGGAACTTGCTATTCAGGAACACGAGTATCCGGGGTTGAGTCGGCAGGCTTGTCTGTGAAGTGGGCGATAGATCGTGATTCATGAATAGATGCAAGGCTTTTGCTTTTCATAAATAAACCTCGTATGGCTGGTTGATGACTGACTCACTCGTAGCTCGCACTATGCGCGGATTGTAGTGTGAAATAGAGTACTTGTGAACCAGTGAGATATAAGGGATCGTTGGAATAAGGGACTGTATTGAAAGTGGGCTGGGTAGCCTCGAGGCCCCTCGCTTTAAGATGAGCAATACATTGTGACCTATCTAAAATCACAAGCCAGAATAGCACTTTTCTGTGTGCATAGCTCTGCTCAAATACACTAGATTCAAGTAAAGACAAGAGCCCTACATCACTTGGGTGTATTGGAGACCCGAATATTCGACAAGGACACTCCACGTGGACTGCAGTATTCATTCCGAATGCCTTGCATCCTCCTGGACTCCCGAGGCAACTATACCACCTGGGAGTCAGATCGTAGAATATCTCCAGTATCTTGTCGGTGGAACTTGAGGATGAATATTCTGGCAGTAAATCTGAGTGGAATCCAGCACGTCAACCCTTAACTGCAACGCTCTGGGCAGCCTTTGTTCTCCCAAGCCCATCTTTCCCATAGTAATCCATGGGGTATATGCCATCGTTGCTTTTCGCCCAGTCTTCCTTTTCACCAAGTACAATCAAGGCCTCATAAGGTGTGAGTAGTGGTCGTGGGAATGCATATCCCCAGTCAATGCTCAGTCTCGGACACGCAACTTGTACCCAACATTCAACGTCATCCATCATGGCAAGCTTTCCGGGGAATATCTCGCTCAGTAGTAAATTGATGTAGGGAGTCCCTTGCGCCTCAAGTTTGCGTTCTATCATGGCCATGGTGTGTGGGTTTCCCTGTCGACCTAGTGACCCCAGAATGAGGCCCCATTTCTTTGCTGTTTTCGCCGAATTTATAGCTTCTCGTCGTAATGTCTGCATTTCCTTGTGGTCATAATTTTCTCGGGTGAGTTTTCGTGAATATGGATCGTATCGGTACGCTGGAATAGATGGATTGTGGATCATGGCGCTTTCTAGGTGAAATCTCCCATCCCCAAGATATAGAATCATGTCAACGCCATCGGTAGTGAGTCGAGGCGAGGTACACCCTAATATTTCGCCCTTACTTAACGGGGATATCTGCGGAATTAAGACACTATAGCCCGCTTTCTCCAAAGGAGCTCGAACTCCATGTAAAGTTGCATTGAACTGAATGGTTCCAACCATAGCAATCGTCTTCCCAGAAGGGAAGTTTTTCTCCAGCGTGGCTAGGAGATGAGCAGTATCAATGCTAATATCGACAAACACATAGAGTGTCTTGATCTTGGTGACATCCACCGGAATCAAGCATGAATGGGCGTAGTGAACCAGAAGATCACAACCAAGAGCTCTTGCCGTGTAGTCATCTATACAACATGCGCCATATGTAACATCGCCATTTATGAGTGTTTCAATACCGGGACAGAACTGTGTGAGGATATCGGATATTGTGGTTGCAAATAGCAGGAGACCCTCGGGCATCTGGAGAGCGACTTTCTTCGAGCCATTCGTTCGTATTCTGTGGATGGTCTTGTGTATTTCGAAAGAGTAGTTGGAGGGAAGGAGGGCGATTGCGGCGTTGATGTCGGGGTCGTTGAGGATTTCGGGAGGGACTTGGTTGAGGGTTCGTGGATTTCGCCTTGGTGTTGATGAGACTGGGAGGCATTTAGTGACAGCGCAACAGGCAGAATCTTCACCATGAACCTTGGATTGCGCCGCTGTCTTCCACAGAGGAATTTGGGCCATTCTTCAACGCTGCCTCTGCAGCTTGCCTCCTCCCTACAAACCGCTTCTTTGGCTGCCTCTGTTGTGCTGCAGCTTCCTCTAGTCTTTCTTCGACATCGACAGCGACGCCCAGGTCCACCTGAGCTCGATCTTCCTCCATTATCCAATTGGTGGAAAGTGCTTTTCTTTGAGAGTGGTAGGTAAGTTTCTCGAGATCTTTAAAACTTTCTTAGGCATTTTACCCCTCCATGATAAAAGCACCCCTGAATCAGCTATTACCACCTGATGGACAACTCATTCTCGTCCAAATTGGTCCTAGCTACGAACCGCTGCAACACCTTAAGGAAGCTTACAGTGACCCTACCCGTATTTAATATGTATGGAAACTCCATGGCTTTTCTTCCGAGCTCGGTCTCAAGCGGTACCTAGAGCTACGGCATTTAGTCTCTTATTGATATTAGCTGCAAATCCGGTGGGCCGGACATGTAAAACCACATATTGATATTGATTCTCTCCTCGAGATCCAGCTTCATTTCTAGAGTTTTCTGCGGCCGTAACGCTCGAAGGCACTCATTATGTCTTCATCTTTGGTGGAAGTTGACCCCTGGGAGGCTGTAGTCATTATAGACAATGAAGTCGATTCTATGTCTTGGATTGCTCCTAACACTATCGATGTCTCGGGACGTTTTCCGGATATGATGATGAGCCAGTCAAAGAGTTTTGCGGTTGGAGAAGATTCTATCAAGGTCATGCCTATGGAGGCTATGTGTTGCGGGGCACATGGCTTGTCTGTTCTTGTAGTATGTTTAATATTCTATTACAACTTTCACAGCTAATAGAGTTATAGACCGCCCCAGAAGTTGGCGTCAAACATTCCGTTCTGTTTGGTACAGGCCCTGAGGAAGAAGCCTATGAACGGAATGCAAAGAAACTAGGCACAGATATTTCATCAGTGGACGTACTCCAGCTCTCGCACTGGCATCGTGACCATTCTGGTATGTGGCTGTCCTGCCAGGATCTAGTCTTTGCTCACTTTATCAAGTGGTATGCTCAAGGTCATTAAAATGATTAGTGAAGCAAAGAAGACAAAATCTATTTACAAACCCATCATTGTCGACCTCCATCCGGATCGTCCAGAGTATCGAGGCTTTATGATCGGCAACAATCCGTCTCATTCCCAGCAGATCCTACCTTTGCTGAAATAGAAGGCGTAGGCGCAACTGTTTCGAAACAGCCTGCTGCTTATACGGTCCTCGATGACATGTTTCTTATCTCTGGCTTCATCCCCTCATCGGCACTACATGAGACAGGCCTCAAGGGAGGCATCAGACAAGATACGAACAAGGGCTGGGAGAAGGATTAATGGATGGCTGGTGAGAGATTTCTAATGTGCAATGTGAAAGGTATGACGGCGCTTTGTAAACCATTCTGCCCAGATCCCGAGCTAACATCACGTTGTACAGGTAAGGGTATTGTCATGTTCACAGGATGCAGTCATAGAGGCGTCGTGAACGCTTCCAGAAATGCCGTGTACTTACTAGGAGGTACTGTACCGCTGCATGCGGTTCTTGGTGGGTATCACCTAGCAGGAAGTCCTCAAAGTCAAGTCGAGGAAACGGTCCAGGACCTCAAGGCCCTCAACACAGAAGTGTCTTCCGGTCCATTGTTCTGGGTGGAGGGTGAAGTATGAGATTGAAAAAAGAAATGCCAGGCAGGCTGGTCCTTTGTGGTGTGAGCAGCAAGATTTTTTATATAGAATTGCATTTGGTTGTACAGATTGTCTTTCCACTAAGGAGGGCTGTGGTCACCCGAGCATTGGTGTGGAGTTTGCCGAGGCAAATATCACTATATTTTTGTCCGAAATTGGTTCCCATCACTACTCATATCTGGATCTCTTTCCAGAACACTTTCCAGAACACTTTCATTGCTACTTATACCAAGGAGAGATGGAAATCGACATCACGTGTAAACATTACCCCTCCTCACCCTGAACCCCACTTTCCCGAACTGTATGTAGGGAGGTAGAATATTCGGCTTCTGCAGTCGGACGGTCCGACAGCAAGCTACTCCGGATATTCCTCTCTATATTTATATCACATACCTACCTTAGTCATAAGAAACAAAGTAAATACTATCCCTTGAACTTCTTATCCCGCATTGCATCTCAAAATGCCGCTTTCCAGAGTTTCAGTAGCGCTGGTAACCGCATCCTCAGCGGGCCTCGGCGCAGCAACCGCAAAAGCACTGGCAGCCAGCGGGGTCCGAGTAGTAATAAACTACAACTCCAACGCAGAAAAAGCAAACGAACTACTTGCAGAACTACAAGCCCTGCAACCGTCCCCGGAAACAGACACAGACAAGAAAACACCCCGCTTCCACGCCATCCGCGCCGATGTCTCCCAACGCTCCTCCTTGATCACTCTCGTCGAGGAAACTATAAAAGTCATGGGCCGTCTGGATCTGGTTGTCTCTAATCAGGGCTGGACCAAGATACGGGATTTCTTTGACCTGGATGATAATGTCGAGGAGAGCGATTGGGATATGTGTTTCAATATGAACGTGAAGAGTCATTTGTGGGCTTTCCATGCTTCGCGGAAATACCTGGAGGAGAGCGAGGGGAGCTTTATTACAACTGCTAGTTTAGCGGGCGTGGCTCCCAGTGGAAGTTCAATGGTGCGTTGCTTTCCCCCTCTTTCCTACACTTGTGTTACGTGGGTTCGGATACAAAACGTTGACAAGATAACGGGTAGGCATATTCCGTCACGAAGGCTGCTCAGATCCATCTTGTCAAGAGCCTAGCGAAAATCTCGGGGCCTCGTATTAAGGTGAACTCTGTATCCCCGGGCTTATTGCTCACAGTAAGTTCTATGTTATTTAAACTTTGGTCTCGAGTGTTCAATCTGACCCTGAACAGGAATGGGGTCGTCAGTTTTCACCCGAGAAGGTTGAAATAACGACAAATAAGGCGGTGCTTAAAAGAACTGCTACTGTGGAGGTGAGTTCTCCTCAATGGTACAGTTATTGGAAGAGAATGCTGATTTCATGCGCTATAGGACGTTGCCAACCAAATACTCTGCTTGGCGAATAGCAGCTCTCAGACGGGAACGAATTCTGTGATTGATGCAGGTTGGATGTTGGGTTAGAATCCGATAACCTCATCTATTCTATTTGGATTTAGTGGTAAGGACTCGATACGGCTCTAGATTTGAAGAATTGGAGTCTATTAAATTTTATGGCGAAGACTGTATGGCTGATCGCCTCAACTGGCTGGCTCCATGCGAAAACGCTTTCCTGGCCTTTTTATACGCTTCAATAACACACTTTCAGAGGACAAATGTGCCCTATAATACAGTACCGTAACGCCATATTTGCAGACCAGGTGAATTCCGAGACAAACCGAACATTTTCCATTCCTTCCCCATGAACTCCCGTGAATCACTTGTCTGCCAGTATCGTGCCTTCGCTGACCCTTCCTTACCCACGGCGATATTTCCCCATAACTTCGAAAGCATTTCCCAAGTCTCTCATCAACTGGGACAAGTTCTCAACCAGAGGCGGAACACCTTGGTTTCCACTCGTACAGCTCCTACCCATCACGCCGATGATACTCTCCATCATGGCCTTGGGATTATCCAACCTACATGCCGAGTTCGGCTCGCGGCCTTGGATCATCGGTATGCCTCTCGCATTCGCGATAAAGCGCCTCGAACTCGCCGTCTCTTCGCCATCAAGCCAGATGACCTCGTCGTGCTCGGGCCCCAGGTGCTGGTTAGGACGACTCGTGGTTCCTAGCAAACACATTCCATACACCCATACGCATAGTGCGACATGGTATAGAGCCACAGCATAGAAGTCTCTGAGCTGGGACGAGGGGAAGGAAGTCGCTGCACGTAGAACTTGTCCGGCGTGGAAGATAGCTTCTCGTGATTTCCGGTTCCCGAACCATTGCTTTAGTAGAGGATACACTCTCTGAGCCTCTTCATTACCTTCTTTCCCCGCAAACAGCTGCAGTTCCTCAAAACTGACATGCAGATTCATCATGTAGAGTTCTTGAAGCACGACAGCCTCCTGTGACAATCCCCCCGGTACCGTGATACGGAAGTGCTCAAGTAGTTGGCATAACTCTTGGTGCCAGGAGGTTGAGATCAGTGCTCCGTTCCAATGGCGTTCGGGAGACTGAATTTTGAGAATGAATTCTAACTGGCGATACTCTGACACAAGAGACCACTACAATGAATTAGTACTTGCTGTTCGGGAAATCACAAGGGCCGAGAAAATGAAACGCTCTGCGGGAATCCCAACACCGCAAAGCCAAGGAGAAACAAAGAAAATGGTCGGTTACGATTGCATGTAGAATGATGACAGTCGAGAAACGGAGGTCGATCAAATCTTGAACTTTGCTCAAAGGCTGCAGATCATGGACGCAGTGCATCAGAGATGGGAGCCGGGTAGAGATACCGGGCAAGGACAGGTAAACGTCTCTCCATGCGTGAGCATTTTTTGCGCGCCATAAAGCGAGTGTGTAGGGTAATTCCAGTGAAAGCTCAGCATATGAGATAAGAGGCCGCGTCAGAAGAGAGATGGAAGCCTGTGCGTCGTGGATGAGTGTATGGAATGCTACTCTCTTGAAAGATTCGGCCTCCACCCAAGCTCGCCATTTGTGATCAAGGATTTTGTCGTCATCACCAGCTTCAGGTGGAATCGCTGGAACTCTTCTTCCAAAGTACCCAGACCTCCTTAGCATCGTTACCAGCGGCTGAGAATTGCTCTCGGCAATTTCCATCTTTCTTTTGTTACCGCTCCATAATCCTATGCTAAGCTCCAAAGAGTAGGTCTGGACAAGCTGTAGATCTCTCGTCTTACTATTGTCAGTTTCGCACTAAATGCTTATTAGTATAAGATCATTGTTGGAGAATTGAGATCTTACGATCTTACGCAGCGCTGATCGAACTGACTCTTGGATAGCGAAGCCCAATTTCCGAACGGTTGGAACACTGGACAGGACTGCCCCAGCAGCCACCACAATCCCATTCAGTTCAGGCATTTGATACTGAGGTTTGAAAGTAGGTAGATGTATAAAGGCATCTGTAGAGTGCAAGTCCGATCTGAAGAACAAATGCATGAGCGAGTCCAACAAATCCGCCGACGGAAAGGAGCTGACAACCCTAGAAACATTTCCTGGTTCGCAAGTGCTGAGGAGCATTGCTAAAATTTTATCCCGGGAATTGTACTCGATCCGCTGGTCAAGAATATCAGGTGCAAGTCTGGCCTCTAAATATTGCCACTGCATGTCCTTGTATGAAATAGAGAGATTTGCCTGTTCTGCGTTTGAGTGCTCCGTCCGGTTTGGTTTCCATTGCCATACTGATTTTTGAAATGCTTCGGCCCCCGCGGTCATTCCACTGCTCACATTTGGAGTCTGCTGCTCTCGATCCATAGGAGGCTCAACCTCAAGGTGTGGGTTCCATACAGACTGCTGCTGTCTTAAGCAATTCTGAGAATTAATCCAACCAAAATCTCCATCATTCATATCCAAGCTTGAGTCCATTCCAAAATTAAAGACATCTCTCCCAGAATAGTGTTGTGGTAAAAAGTCCATACCTTGCTGTCCAGCTAGGGAATTTGGGGTTACAGGCATCATCACATCCCTAAGAAACTCTGCAAGAGATGATTCGTCTATGGATAAAAGAGCATGATCGACCAAAGGGGTGGACGAGACCTCATGATGTGAGGCGTGCAGGGCGCCAGATGGGGACATTCCCGTAGGTTGTGAGAATGTAACACTTGGGGCATCGGTCCTGAGAAGGTTTCGTGTTTGAGGATCACAATCCAACATTCTGTTGTGGCAATCTAGCGTCGTTAATGTTTGTGCTCCCTCTAGACCCTCCATGTCCAAACTTGGTTGCGAATCTATAAGACTATTAGCTGAGACTCGAACCCCTTCGCATTGGCGTCGAAATAGCAAAATTCCTACTTTTGATTTCAGAAATCTGTGATTTGATAAGATTCTTGGTCTTCTCGTTGCTCGGTGGAAATGTGCAAGAAATATTCTTCTGGAGGCAACGTTGACACGGTTTCTCACTTCCACACTTGAGCTTTGAACCAGCACAAGGTAGACATGCTTGAGCAACTCTGGCTACGTGTGATGAGTTGTGTTGCCTCTTCGTTTCTGTCTTGTCATTGTGACTTATTGAGTGACGTTTAAGAAGATCTCTGTGTCGATTATGAGTCTTGAACTTGGACATAGGATTCCCATTTACACTTACGCCCGGGCAAAAGATTTATTGCATGTAGTGCAAGTAAACGGTTTCTCACGCGTATCTATATTATGTGTAAGTTACATAATGCTACAGTGGAGATCGCGCGGAGTCTCGAGTACTCAAGAAATCGTCGGAAGTAACTTACGGGACCGGTAATGCCTTGCTAGATGGTCAACTCTGGAATAATTCCTTTTGCACACATTGCAGGAAAATGGGCTAGCATTCTTTCCCGCCTCAGATTCTGTCGTACTATAAGGGGTCTGACAATTTTCCTGTCCTTCTGGTCCTTCATACTGCATCGCGTCCCCCATGGAGAGATTGAAACTAGTGCCGGGGCTCAGTGAGCCACCAGAGTCTGGAGTAGTGATGGCAATGAGGGTAGTAATAACAATTGCCCAATTGTCCACTGAAAGTGGATTGATTGCTGGGCCAGGTCTAGCAGGACTGCCCAGCTCACAGCTTAGATTTGGTGAGGTTCAAATCTACCGGTAGTTCCGTACGCGTGTACTCAACCCCGCGTTGAAGTCATATCCTTGTAATTGACCTGCAGGCATCTGATCTTGGGCGCGCGTGTACCACTATCCAAAGGTCGATTCGTTTACTTAGTAATGCTTTATTTCACGCGCTCTGCAAGAACTGTACTGTTATAGTGCAGTGCAGTGCTTACTGCTTGAAGATTGGTACGAAGTAAATGTCCTGCGGCCTCGGGATCTCATCCCGTTGGCTTGTATTACTCCGGAGTGCGACATTTAGGGTGCTACGAGTATACTCCAGAGAGCCTAGCAAGCAATCAGTGGCATGGCTATTGGTCCAACACATTCCACGAGTGGAGGCTGCACCAGGTCGACGACCACATCCCGACCAGCGCAATCCCAATGAAGTCAAAGATCATCACCTTGTGAGGATAGGAGATTAGAATAATCCTAAGTGGTCTCTTGTACCAGGAGAGTCTATATTATGAGCAGCATGGCATTTCATAAGAGTCGTATCAGTGAACGATTGAAGTTCGATTGAAGTTCGACTTGAACTGCTTCAACTTTCGAACAGCTGTCATAAAATATTATGCTGGTCACTGGCCTTCCAGACCGACTGCTCTTACATGGCCTGTAAAACAAACCATTAATGACCAGATGCTCTCATCTGTCCAGGAAGACATGTGTCTCAACCCGCGCTCGTAAATGCATTGAGATAACAGCCATCACATCCTAGGCTTCCACAGCATCGCAGGAAGTAACAGATAAAGAGACAAGAATCTGAGTCTGGCTGATATGCAAAAATATATATTCTGCCACTACTTCGACGGCTTGACGCCTGGTATTCCACCATAATCCTCTTCGAGTTTGGTCCCCCCAACCTTGAGAGGAGCAGCTTCTTGGAGCACATACATCATCCTCGCAGATGCCGTCTGGCTAGCATTCCTCCACGCGTGATTTGTCCCTCGTTGTATTGCAATATCTCCGCGCTTCAAGAGTCTCGTCTCGCCAGAATCCAGCACCAGTTCGACTTCGCCTTCCAGAACCACCCCGTAATCTAGACTAATTGTACGGTGCATCGGGGACAAGGCTCCTGGGAGCATATCCACGAGTCTCAATACAGTGCCGCCGGGGATTGTAATTCCAGGCAGGTTTTGTGTGTAGTGCTGGTAGGTGGAAACGTCTGCGCCGGCAGCCAGGTCGACGGGGAATTTGTTGGTGGCATAGCCAAGGGAGAATCGGGCTCCATCTGGAAGCGTTTGCCAAATCAACGGCTCTGCCACATGGTTTGAAAAGATTGCTTTGCCTTGATCATTATGATCGGTCACAAATCTATGGATTGGAGGAAGGCCGTTGTCTCCCATTGTTGATCAGATTCGAGGTCGCCGGTTTGATAATATGGGAGGTACGATGATAATAGTTCTGGTGAACACTGCTAGGTATAGGAAGGAGATGGTTTCTACAGCAATTGATGTTATTAGCAAGAAGCTGTGCGGCATACCTACCTTACCTAGGTAGATATATAATGGTGTACTAAAGAAGTCGAAGGCCACCACCTGCCTCTTCTTCTTCTGCTTCCTTCCGGGTGGGCAGCTCGGCCCCGCATTGTGTCCGCATGTAGCAGTAACACTTGTAGAGGGGGATGAGAATGCTCCGATTGCGCTGGTGGCAGGTCTGCCCATTTGGGGTACCTAGGCAGGTATCAGGGGCGCATGAGGTGTAGATGATGCTTTTGACGCGACCACCACTAGAAAATCTCGCTCGCCTCAGTCGCGTCTTCCCTCAACAGCGAGTCAACGCTTTCGACAGCAACATAACAATTCAAACTTACTTACACGACATGACAGTAAAACTAGAGGTTGATACCAAAACTTGCGGTAGGAATGTTATCGTCGAATTTCCCTGACTGTGGACTCGCGGGCGCTGAATTTCCAATTCTGTCATGTCACTATTAATATATCCACTGTCTGTTCATATACTATACCAATCTAGCCAAGACTTATAGATTCTCAATCGACAAGCACCGTTTTAGAGTGATTCAGTGTTGGTTGGACTGTTATACTGGTTTCAACCATTCAGATCTCTTGGTCAAGAAAACATTTCCAATATCGGAACCTTTCTATTGCCCTCTTGTACACTTACCTAATGTTCCGTCGAAGTGGGGCACTATCACTACCTACTGCATGTTATCTCATAGGCCAATTGGCGCTGTATTTACGCTGAAGGCACTCGGTTTTAAAGAGCATCTCTGATGCTTGTCGGGGTGTGAGATGTGTTTTCAAGGTGGGGCCGATGGAGTACGTTTCTGGGGCGTATGAGTATAGCTCAACATAACATAACATAACACTCTCTATTTCATATCGATATTTGTACATTAATTAAACTGCTTTACTATCTTACAATGGCTCACTGGCTCAAATCAAAGGCTGTTCATGTTAATAGCGCCTCACCTCAAGAATCGGTCTCGGCAACAGTAAAAAGTGTCATTGAGTCTATCAGATCTGAAGGCGATTCCGCCGTTCGACGCTATTCCCAGAAGTTTGACAATTGGTCACCGATCTCTTTCAAGTTGTCCAAAGCAGACATTGAAAATGCCATCTCGGCAGTCCCAGAACAGACTTTGAAGGACATCAAGGAAGTCCAATCGAATGTCCGAGCTTTTGCCCTTGCACAACGTAATTCCCTTCATGATTTCGAGCTTGAGATCCAACCTGGTGTTCATCTTGGCCAGAAAAATGTTCCAATCAGCTCCGTTGGCGCGTAAGTCATTTGGCGCATCGTACACTCAACCTACTAAATGCTTATTCCCAGATATATCCCAGGTGGTCGATATCCTCTCCTTGCTTCTGCACACATGACTATCCTTACTGCTAAAGTAGCAGGAGTGTTAAATGTGATAGGTTGCACTCCTCCGATTTCTGGGAAGGTCCCAAATGCCACTGTCGCAGCAATGCATTTTGCTGGTGCTGATGAAATCTTCATTCTCGGCGGCGTTCAAGCCGTCGCCGCTATGGCAGTAGGAACAGAATCTATTCAGAAGGTCGATTTCATAGCCGGTCCAGGAAATGCTTTCGTTGCAGATGCTAAGCGACAGCTCTTCGGAGAAGTTGGGATCGATCTTTTCGCAGGCCCAACTGAAATCCTCATCGTAGCGGATGAGCACGCCGATCCTTTTACAATTGCAACAGATCTCATATCCCAAGCTGAGCATGGTCCAGATACTCCAGCTGTCCTAATTACGACTTCTGAAAACGTTGGCACGGAAGCTATCAGGCATGTCAATCAATTACTCGAACACTCTAAACTCTCCACAGCGGACATTGCTACAGCATCCTGGAAAACTTTCGGAGAAGTCATCACGGTCCCTACTCTCGACGATGCATATGCTCTTGCGGATCAATACGCTTTTGAACATGTCCAGATTTTCACTCAGAGACCAAGAGAAGCCCTTGAGAAAATGAGTCACTATGGAGCTTTGTTTCTAGGCGAGAAGACATGCGTCTCATACGGAGACAAGGTCTGTACCCCTCGCTTGTTCCTCTTTCCCATGCTAATAATTTTTCTCTTCTTAGGTCATTGGCACAAACCATGTCCTTCCCACTCGAAAAGCAGCTCGGTATACCGGCGGTCTGTGGGTCGGCAAATATCTGCGTACTGTGACTTACCAGGAGGTCACTTCAGAAAGTGCTAGTGGTAATCTGGGTAGGCTTTGTGGACGATCGGCCCGTGCAGAAACATTTGAAGGGCATGCCCGCTCGGGAGACCTCAGAGCAAGCAAGTTCCTGGGAGATCATCATGTGTGGATTGACGGCAAGAGGTCTGATTCACGATTGTAGTTAATCATAACCGAAGGATATAGAAGTGCGAGAATTTGACAATTCTTTTTAGACTATTTTTGACCTGTTTTCAAATTGTGTTATGGAGCGGAAATATGTGTAGTACCTTCATGCAGACCTGGAAGACTAGCATCTTGAAAAGTAAAGTCTAAGAAATAAAAGTCCTTGAATCTGACACTCCCAAATATATTTCCCACGAGACCATGTTTCATCTTTTGGACAGTCCACAAAATCGCATGGCCAGGATGGTTGAAGCGTCTTGTCGGTGAATGAATGCATGCCGCTTTCCAGACTCTGATACTATGCTTAATCCTCGAACCCTATGCACTGATATTTCTCCGGGATGCAAAGTATGCAAAGCATTTCCGGAACATAGAACATTCGACTCGAGGTTGTAGTTCTCCATCCTGTGTAACTGCAAGCAAAGTTCGGCCCCACCAAAGACTAGGTAGCGAGAGATATTACTATGGATGATTACACCCCGCAGTGGATGGTGGGGCCGGAGACATCAACATTAGTCAATACCAAAGCTGGCAGATGATGATGCCGGACGGAAGTCAAGGTGGGATGTGCTATCTGAAGCTGCTCTCTATACCATACACCGTGCCGCGCGTGTAGTTCCGCTCTGTATATCTCCAACTTATTCGACTGTTCAAGTTCAATAGCATCAGTAATAAGCCACCCACAGACAGCCAGTCAAGATGAACACAGCACAGGTCAATGAAAATGGAATTTTGAATGGTGTGAATGGACACACTCGGGAACATGGATTGAAGATATTGATCATAGGTGCGGGAATTGGGGTAAGTCCGGCAATCATCACACAGCTCGATCGATCACGAAATAACAAACATCAAGGGTTTGACCGTAGCCATTGCACTCAGACAGCAAGGCCACGAAGTTCATGTAAGTATGAACTTCTCCCCACAGGCTATCAGTTTTGCTGAATACACCGTCAGCTCTTTGAACAGTCTCGGTTCGGAAGCGAGGTGGGTGCTGCGATCCATCTCGCTCCAAATGCCAATGGAATCTTGAGGCGTTTGGGAATTTATGCTGAAGAATTCGGTGCAAACCCTATGCGGATTGTGAGTGATAAAAGCAGGCGATTTCAACTGGGTCCTGACCGCCGCGATAGATCACTGAATACACAGCAGAGAGTGTAGTGAAAAAAAGTCTCAATCTTGTTGAGCCAAACAAGTTATGGCAGCACGTAAGTTACTTTGGATTTGAACATCTTCATGTTTTTCAATGCCACACTAATTCACGTACTGACCAATTCAGCCGTGGCTGCTAGGCCACCGCGTTGCCCTCGGCACACAATTGAAAGATGCAGCGACAACTCCCAACGGCAAAGGAGTACCTGCTCAACTGCGTAAAGGTAGTAGAGTAGTCAATGTAGATGCCATAACCTCCACTGTCATTCTCGAGAATGGCGAAGCCATCAAGGGCGATCTGGTTATCGGGGCAGACGGAGTACACTCTATTAGCCGGAAAGTAATTTTTAAAGATCGTTTCCAACCCTATGGATCGGGAAAGAGCGCTTTCCGTTTCCTGATCACTAGAAAGTCCGTCCAAGACGACCCTATGACAAGCAAGTTTGCTCAGGAAGATGGCGAACTACTTATTTGGTACGCTTCGGATCGAAGAATTGTCGTCTACCCCACCACAAACAACGAACTTCTCAATTTTGTCTGCATCCATCCAGACAGCGAAAGTTCAGCCGGGTCTGATACTTGGAACAATCAAGGAAATCACGAGAAGATGCTCGAAGTATACAAAGAGTTTGACCCAGCAGTCCTGGTCCTTCTCAAGAAAGCTGATGCTGAGACTTTGAAAGTCTGGAAATTGCTTGATATGGATGTCCTCCCAACATGGGTAGATGGGCACTTAGCATTACTCGGTGATGCAGCCCATCCCTTCTTACCACACCAGGGTCAGGGAGCTGGATGTGCAATCGAAGATGCAGCAAGTCTGGCTGTTGTGTTGCCAAGGGATACTCCGCGGGAAGAGATCAAAGAGCGCCTGCAGCTGTACGAGAGGATCAGGATGAAGCGTGCTAACAGTATCCAAGAATTCTCACGAGTCGCAGGAATGGATCTGAAGAGCAATATAGAACTTGACAGTTTGTTCCCCCTCCTCTCCATACAACGAATTACATGATGAGAGCTGATCGAATTCTTTAGTGCAAGCTCACACCAATTACAATTTCGGCCATGATGAGTGGGATAATTCTACACAAGATCTGCGTAAATGGACGTGGGCAAGGAACCCCTCAATTTACTGGAGGTAAGGCATTCAATTGTAAGGGGTCTACTTCGATCACTTGTTAACGTATGAAAAAGAATGCCAATTGCTTTTGGACCCATGCCTGGGCCCCGCCAGAATTTCTCAGGAAAAGCACGAGAGTCGAGCGAATCTACTTTCACAACCGGTAAGCATCTCTTCATTAACTCTTTTTCGTTCCAAATATTCAAGACAAAGCATTCACTTATCATGTTTCCAAGCGTCCATAAAATTCAAGACCTCTCGAACCTTGCTTCAGAATCTGTTTCCGCCAAACAGCACATCTTACAGGTTCAAGTCCCCAGGGACAGTAGCCTACGCCTCCTTTTCTCAAACTACTCTCAATAAAATGGACTGGTTGGGAGGCTCGGGGTACAAGCACATCGGTCTCTACATCCATGGCGTAGAGTACGTGAAGAAGAATGGCGACATCATTAGTGGCACTTGTGAGCTCCAATCCCTATTCCAAGTAAAGTTCAAAATTCCTTATGCATTCCAACAGATATGCCACTCCTCTTTGAAAACTTGACCGATCCCATAGTGTCCGGTCGAGAGGAACTAGGAATGCCTAAACTGTACACCTCCGTCGACATACACCGCCGAGAAAAGTCCTACCGAATCAACACTGGCTGGGAAGGCGCGGTATGGGGCAATTTCGTATTGGAAGGGCTTGAGGACAGCGATCCGGCTGCCGACAAAGGAAGTATCAGTGGTGAAGACGATGATGGGATCTTAGTCTATCGATACATCCCCAAAGTCGGGTACGCCAAACGAGGTGAGACTGAAGCAGAGTATCCTGTCTTCGTGCCGTACGCAGAAGATTCATTGCAGCCACAACCCAAGAGGATATGGAAGGCGGGCAAGGCGAGTTTTAAGCTTGATCCGATGGATTGGGAGGCACTGCCCACGCTCCATCATATCATTTCTCGATTGGCGGAGTTACCGGTGTACGAGGTGATGGGCGGGAAGGTGGTAGAGGGACTTGGGGTGCCAGATGTTAGGGCCGCTCAGAGGATAGAGTAGATTCAATTTGCATACCGTTTACTGATATGCATTAATCGCCTCGATGTTCACAACAAGCCATTGTTGTTATTATTATTATTTCCCATGTATTCTTTTCACTTCATCATAACCCCAATTCATTGCATAAACAACCCCCCACAAACATTCACATTCACCCCATTCATCCAGCTGGCCCTGGGCAAGCATAGCATAAGCACAGCATACGCCACCTCGTTCGTCTCTCCAAGTCTCGGCCCCACCGGCGTCTTGTCCATCACCGGTTTCATCAATTTCATAAATTCTTCCCCCGCAGCACCAAAGCCCTCCGTCGCTGTCGGGCCAGGACTGACTGCATTTACAGTACAGCCATATTTGGCTGGCAACTCTTTTGCCCAGACCCGAGTGAAAGCATCTACCATGCCTTTTGTCCCGGCGTACTATGACAAGTTAGTTTACTACTGCACTTTTCAAAAGGACTAAGCGCTGAGAATAATGGACAGTATTCAAAAGCACAATCAGACACAATCAAGAGAGGCTGAACAAAGAGAAGAGGATTGCTTACTATAGTCTGCAAAGCTGGCGCTTCCCGAGCAGAGATGCTACAAATATTGACAATCCGGGACTTCGGTGCCAGGTGCGGAAGCGCAGCCTGCGTAAGGAGAAAAGTCCCACGGCCGTTAAGGTTAACCAGACTATCCCAATGTTCCAAATTCTGTTCCTCGAAAGGAATATTGACTGCTATTCCGGCATCTGTGCAAAAGCACCTCGTTTAGACCAGGGGGTGGGCTATTTTGGAACTAACTTACTATTGACCAGTATATCAATTCTCCCATATGCAGCCACAGCAGCATCAACAAGTATCTGCGGCCCAGTGATGGTAGAAATATCTGCTTGCACCGCAATTCCGGGACTCTTCAAACCGGCAACTACGGCCGCCGCGCGGTCGATGAGGACTTGCTCTGCGAAGGGATAGTTGATAATGACTGTTGCTCCGAAATCCGAAAGTTCACGTGCGATTTGCGCGCCGATCCCAGAGTCTGAGCCGCTGATGATGGCAATTTTGCCGGCGAGGGAGTTTTCCATGTCTGGAAGTATACTAAAAATCAATCTAGTAAAAAGGTACTAAAAGCGATAACAGTCTCGAGTGGCCGTCTGATTTTGTCGCTTCCGGACCGTTAGTATGTCTGATATTAGGAATTAAAGTGGCTGATAAGGGGGGTTTGGGATCCCGGTAAACAGCAAAGGCGGCACTGTTTTATAATATGTTAGGCTGAGTGAGATATTAAGAATCAATGGTAAGGAGGGCTGCTTTTTGTGTCTAGTAGGTATGAAACAGGACGTGGGGAATGCGGGGTCACCTCACCCACTCGGGAGACCAGGGGCTCTAGTTATAGAAAATGCGGGGGTGGGGTCCCGAGATTCAGTGAAGCGTAATCAGGAAAGAGAAACAAACTAGCAAAGGACATGGTCTCAAAGGGAAAGAGCCCGCTTTACACGACGTAATCAAAACTCGGCATTTCAAGATTCTATAATATGCAATCTAAAAGACCAGCAAACATCCGTGTCGTAAGGTAAAAGACTAGCCATCATGCTGTTCTTTCGGCATTCACACAAAGATCTCTAGGTGCGCCACTCATGCTTGTTTTCCAATCCATTGACCCCGGATTTGTCTCCTTGATCGAGAAATCCACAGACTGTGCCTCGAGGGTCCCATTTTTGCCTCAGCTGCATAAGCTTTTCGGCTTTAGTGTCCTCCCAAAATCTCGTTCTCCGAATCTGGAAGTCCGAGTCTCCAAGGTATGCTCCCACGGAATGCTTCTCCACGTCTTTCATGACGCTTTTCACCCAAGATGTGCACCTTTCATCATCCTTCTCATCTTCCCATACTGTGTACAGAGCAAAATAGTGGTCTGACTGCATGGATAATGCCATGTCTGGAAGTTCTCGGCGAGAGCATGGATTCTGTAGATAAACGAAGGGTTAGCACGGAGTCTTTTGCGAGTAGATTAAGTGGGATATCTGTTATGTATCTTGATAGTATCACTCCACATAATTTCCCTTGAATTACGTGGAATACAGGAACTGCCACATAATAGAGAATAAATTACTACTTGATACAAACTCAATGCGTAGGTAATTACACCAGGAAAGATAGGCGGAAGAAGTTGTAACAGAGGAGAAGATTATGAGACTATGCAGATACGAAGGATATTCCAGTAAGCGCAGGAGATTGTAGACCTACCATGGAGTACCAGAGGGCAAATGTTTTCGTTTCTTCAGGTAAAGTAGTAAATGCATCCCGGAGAACTTCTGCAGCATCTGTGTCGTTCCTGATATATGCATTGTCGCTAGTATAACGATGCCCTTCGGGATTCGCTAATTTCTGAGCTTCGTATTCAATGGAAAGACTCGATGGCGTACACATTGATGTCATGATTGCCCCTGGCGGAAAAGTCTCATTGGCTAATTTCAAGGAGGCAATGGCGTCGTCCTTGGAGTTTTGAAAGGCAACAAAACAAGCAAGTATGACTGGCTGCTTCACCGGGTCGGGGCGAAGACTGAGACAAACAACTTCGACTGAATCATCACATCTTGGGGCTATCTAGGGCGTCTTAATGCCGAGGTAAGTAATAGAAGCTGGCAGTACTTACATCTATAGTCCAATCTAGGACAGTTTTATATTGCTCCAAGGGCCAGATGAAAGTTGATTTCATAACGTTCGAAAAACTGTTTCGGACCTTGAGATGAAAGGCAGTGACAATTGCAGGGAAGCCTAGAATTTGTATAAGCAAAGGTATTTTCAGACAAGAATTCAACGTACCAGGTCCAGCTCCCCTTGCTGCCCAGAATAGATCGCAATTCTGGTCTTTAGAACATAAAAGTATATCTCCATCCGCTGTCACTACCTCAACAGCCAGCACTTTTTCGCAGGCCCATCCCCAATTCTAATGCACGTATTACTATTAGCAAGAAATACATCCGCACGAGAAAGGAACACATACTTTGCAATTCCAGCCCATTCCACCTTGAAGCAAGAAACCACCTTTCGTATTGTTAATAAGTTCATTTTATGCTTATGAAGGATCAATACCCAAACCGACATCCGGGCAGTGGCCCCCTTCAAGATCTCGAAGTCAGTCATGCCTGTTAAATACATATATGGATTGGAATATCATTCCGTTGGAGTAGAGACAAAAGTTTCGGAGCAGTGAACTCTCAAACTACATCTAGAGAGTAGGCAGACGACAAGGTAACTTACCTGCAAACATCTTTCCCCTTTTGCCCAAATACTCATTGAGCACACAGCCCGTAGTACTTGGCGAAGCTTTCAATATCCCAGGCGCTTCATTCAGTTCAAGACACTTTAATTCTCCCAAATCAATAAGCAACGCGTCGTCTCTCACACTCCATGCTGCCCAGCTGTGACCTCCCGAACGAACTGACACTCTCAATCCCAATTGATTTGCCAGCTTCACAGCATCTGCCACTTCTTCCGCCGTGGTCGGTTGTACAACGCCACGAGGGTACCGTTCAGGCCGTCTATTGTTAAAAACACGTCCAATCCGAGCCTGTTCATAATCCGGCGATTCTCGCCATACGACACTCGACGCTGAGACCATGATGCAAATAGCAATATAACGAGCACAAGCAAGGACTGTTAACTGAATCCGAGATATCGGGGAAATATGTCCACGAGTACGAGAAGATAATTGCAACTTAGCAAGCGACTTATGTGGAGATTCACGAAACACAGAAGCATTTTGCTTCTTCAGCGTTTCGGAAGGAAAGTGCATGAGGCGCATCCGAAAGACACGGACCCATTGTAGGATATGCCGCGCACGTGATGCTATACCGTGGGTGCCCAAGCCAAGCAAGGGGCTTTCCCGGATGTCAGAGCTCAACTTGGATTTGTCATTTCTTTACGATCCCCCCTTTACCCCTGCCATTTTCACCTCCCGGACTTCATGCCATATGCCGGAAGAGGCCTTTGTTTTTCGGATCCATGAACAAGTCGCAAACACGACGCTCTGTCGTCCTGAAAGAGTTAGCTCCTTTGCTATTTGCATGGACAGTTCAGACATCGAATCTAAATTATGATGGATCGATGTAAATCTCGGGATGTGGGCCACTTTGCATGGGGGTCCCGCCCCCGGATTTTCTACAACGCTTTTATTAGTTTATTACAAGGGAGGTAAGGGCACCGGAAGTAAGACGCGGCAAGCCTCCTGCTGGTCACCGGACCCACATTTGACCACTCTCCCTGACCTCTACGGGGGTAGCGAATATATATCTGCACTTGAGGTCTTCTTGCCCGATCTTTGCACTTCAAAGAGACGTCAAATGATGGATACAGCAACAGAACTAACGGCACCGGCCGCCAATTTGGAGCATGCGGAAAGCTACAAGTCGGCTGCTGCCAAAAGGGTTGAGACTTTGGGTACAGTTCGGCACAGGCATGAGCATACAAACGAAATCATACTCGTCCCAACCCCTTCAAATGATCCAAATGATCCCCTCAATTGGTGAGTTGGTACCCCATCAGTTTAAACCCCATCTAACACAATTTTAGGAGTCAGGGTTTCAAGTATTACACGGCTTTTATAATATGTCTAGCAATGTTCATGTGCAACTTTCTGGCAGCCGGGCCAACTATTGCTAGTAAGTGAAGCGCTCAGCCTTGTTGCGATACCATGTGTTCTGAAAGATGAGGGGCCGTTCTAGGCACTTGAAGCGACTAATTTGACCTCTGCGAGCTATTTTTTAAATTCTTGTCCGATGGGAAATAGCGAAGCTAACTTCAAGTAAAGTGGTTCAGACGGCTCAAGATTTCTTTCCAGATTGGAAGAAGATTGGTTTGATCGCGGCTATCTCGAAAGTGGCCTACTTTTTCACATCGACATCCCTCCTCCAAGGTACTGGCAATATGATCTGGATGCCGCTTGTCAACAAGTATGGAAGACGCCCAATATATCTGATCAGCTATTCCATTTACTTGATCTGTGCTATTTGGGCGGCATGCACACATTCGTATGGAAGTTTCTTGGCTGCTAGGATTTTGCTCGGCTTTGGTGCTGGTGCTGCTGAAACGAGTATGTTGTCCTATGGAGGTACTTGGATTGTACTGATTGATTAAAGTGGCTCCGCTGTCAATCGCTGATATATTCTTTCTACACGAGCGTGGTGCGATCATGGCCCTTTACAGTGCATCTTTGGTCTCCGGTTAGTAACCTTCTAAAGAAGTACCTCCTACTTGAGACGCGTTCGAAGTGGCATCAGAAGTCGACAACTCTTGATTATTCATGAACCACTTTCCCAACACCCATAGAACCTTCCTCCAAACCGCAAAATTATCAATTAGGCAATGCTGACTCCGAGGTTGATAGGAGTGTCTGGTGGAATCATAATTGCTGGGTAAATAGTGCCATCTTCATGTCTCTGAAACCTTGTGGTGCCCTCTGACTAATATTGGCTAGGTTAATTACAATCAAGCACCATGTAAGAATATTCGACTTTTCTTTGGGCTATTATTTCAGAGCAAGTTGGAGGCAAAGCATTGAAATACTGATGATTACAGTGGAGAGTTATTTACTACGTTGCCATTGCCCTGGTCGGAGCCACACTACTCCTCGCATATTTGACATTCCCAGAAACAAGTTATAAACGAAATATTGAGCTCGATCCTCACGGGCATCCAACCACTGTAGTTGAGGACCAAGCAGCTGGCCAACCTATCGATACACCATCAGACGAAAAAATCAACACCGGAGCTCACGTTGAGGCCGCTCCAGGCTCCATTCCAAAGAAGAAGAGTTACGCACAGAGGCTCAAAATCTTCTCGGGCACATACACCGAAGAAAGCTTCTGGAAACTATTCATCCGACCGTTTGCACTGATACTCCTCCCACCAATCCTATGGTGTGCCCTCGTCCAATCTGTGACCATCGGCTTCATCGTCGCCGTAACTTCCAACGTTGCCAGTGCCTACTCAACAGCGTACCAATTCAAACCATACCAAACGGGTCTCTGCTTCTTCGCTGCAATAATCGGTGCCGCAATCGGTATCCTAGCCGGTGGTCATTTGAGTGATATCGTCGCAGATTTCTTCACCAGGAGGAACGGAGGCGTTAGAGAGCCCGAGATGAGGTTGCCGGCGATCATGATTAGTCTCGTCACCACACCGCTAGCCCTAATCCTGTACGGGGTCGGCATCCAATACAATTTGCATTGGATATGTCCGACAATAGGGCTTGCACTGCTCAACTTCTCAATCGTGCAAGCTACTAATGTTGCGCTTGTGTATGTCATCGATGGTTATCGGCCTATTGCTGGTGAGGTTACGCTTACTACGATGGGATTCAAATGTAGGTGCTCCAGCACCGAGTTGCTTCCTATGGAAATGTGGCTTACGTTCATATAGCTGCATTTGGTTTCCTCCTCTCTTTTTACACGAACCCCTGGATTGAGCAGTCTGGTTACCTGAATGCTTATGGCGCAATGGCTGGTATCTCTGCCGGCATTTTGATTTTTTGGATACCGCTCTATATCTGGGGCAAGCGGATCAGACATGCTACGTGGCAATGGCGTGTAACGCAATTCGTTCATTGGGATGAAGATCGAGAGGTTGGAGAATAGTTGCTCATTTACTGACTTCTCTTATTGATATTAGGCCGTGAGGATCACGCAGCAGGCTTCTATCGTAAATTTGGGGTCAATCATCGATTATCTGACCAGTTATTCGATTGTCCTTCTTGCTTTATGAGGATCATATATCATTACTCAATCCCCTCAGCTACTTGCCATGAGCAAAATGCTCTTTTCCGCGAAAAAAGAAATTATTAGTTAATAACAATTTGAAAATATTTGTTCCATCTATCAAAAGAAGGAAATGTAACTCATCTTACGAGAGGATCGCTAGCCCGCTCTGCTCTTCCCCCCTAAATATCAGCAAGCAATTAAACTCAGCAACCATTGAGCAAGAGCGGGTTTTTCCTATACCTCAGGAAGATTGTTGAACGCTCACACTATAAGCGGCATTCCCTTCCTAGAAAGAATCGCGAATAGAAAAGAATCCAGTAGTCCTAATTTTATATCCGAAAACCCGACACCAACGATCGGCTTAACCATTTCCTCTAACAAGATCCGTTTTTCCCCCCTTCCCTGCCGATGTGGGGTGACTAGCCGTGATTTCCCCCCTTGATTAAAAGTTGACATTTTCAGTATTATAATGATATCCAAAAAAGTTGCAATCGTCATCGCATCGCCAAGAAAATTGAAGGAACGTGTAACTGCAAAACCATCAAGGTGACAGTCAACGACACCGATCTCTTCTCCGCACCCCGCAGTTCTATATGCCATTGTCAGAACTGCAGGAAGACTAGCTCAGGTACTTTACATTATATCTCCCCAATGATCAATCATAATATATCTTCTTTTAGTATTTCTTTGTTTGTGATCTGACGGAACGGAATGGAACAAAAACACTTTGCTGATAAGAAATGTATGACGGCTAGTATAGGAGTTAAACTTGTTATTGAAAGCGAGAAAGTATCTATTGGTGGGGAGAAGAATCTCGGCGAATACAAAGACTTCGATACCCGAAGCGGAACCCCCGTCTCGTGGTTCTTTTGTAGGACTTGTGGGAAGTAAGTCTGGTCCTGCCCAATCTTCACTCTCTCCCTCTGTCTCATGGTAAGGGTTTATACTATATACTATACTACATATAACCGCGTAAGTTAAGTCATAGATTGCTGCTAATAACTGAGGATGCAATACTCCTATCTAGTCCATGACACCCCTCTATGCGGGAAAAACAACCCTAAAGCTCGGCATCTTTCCCAGGAATCCAGCTCCAGCTGCGGAGGAGGTTGTGCTTCATAGGCAGGAGTGGTTGGAGCCACAGGTTGGATGTACGTAGTGGAAGACCCATATTTCTAGGAAGATGGAAGATTAAGTAAGGAAATGAAGGAAGGGATTCCTTTCAGTTTTGATCGGTTGTGGACAAGATACAGTGAGCGTTAAGTGACACACTACCTTGGCTGCGTTAACCCCTGTCCGAGGCTTCAAAACTGATTTGGTGAAATACAGGAAGAGGATGAGAACCGGGTCTTCAGGTTCCAAATCTGGCAATATGACGCGAAAATTGCAACGGGGTCTTTGAATTTACGCCAAGAAGCGAAAGGTGGCTTCTGAGCTGGTTCATGGTTCTATACAGAACAGACACACAAGCGAATGGTATATCAAAGAAGATTCCAATAGTCATATATCGCATAGTTTCAAATCCACAGTAGAAGGACAAGCTCCCCGACCACTACAGACGCGTCTTTTCTGGCTCTAGTGTGTCACTCTTCCTCTAGGTAGTGAATCTAAAGTCAGGGTGATCATCACCCATATTGCCCAAATCAACAACCTCCTCCGCATGCCTATAATCACGCCCCCCACGGTCCCGCTTGTTGTTCTCGGCCTTGAGGCCAAAGAACATGACAATTGCCATACCCCCGCAAAGAACTATTAGGAACGCCAGAGCGGATCCAAATCCAGTTTTATAGGTCGGTGCCTCCATGCTAAGGAAAATGTTACTCGCTACGATACCGCCATAGTTTCCGACTCCGATCTGGATCGCTGCTGCCATGGAGCGCTTGTAATGGCCGCCCATCTACAGGGAAGTCACTTCAGTATTGGTGCTATTTGAGATGGCCGAAAAGCTGCATAAATTGCAAGTACATACCTGGTTAGAAAGCCATGCTAGTGTAATGGGTTGCGAAATGTAGCCACCAGTGGTGATGAGAAAACAGGCTAGATATCGAACACCGACTGACACGGAGCCCATGTTAAGCATCATAGCGTATCCAGTTGAGCCGACTACAACACCTAAGATGATGAACGAGAACCGGTGACGGAGCTTGTCGGTGGCGAACGCAGTTCCGATAGCGACGATGGTGGCACAGGCAAATATCGGGATAGTAAGGATCTGAGACATGGCTGAGGTATAGCCCATTTGCTAATGCAGCTATCAGTAAAGATAGGAAGCAGAACACAAATTCTTACCTCCAAGATCGTAGGGATGAAGAAACTTGTTGAGTATCCCGTGGTCACAACACCCATGTACATCCTAATCACATTAATATTACGCCTATGTAACTTACCGGAGAAAGAAAACAAAACTCACAGAGTTCCGCAGTAGATCTTCCAGTCCAGGAAGACTCGTCTTGCAGCACGCTTATCAAGTCTGTCCATCTCGGCTAAGCCAGAATCCAAGGAAAGCCGTTGGACAAGCAGCGCACGCTCTTCATTTGTAAGGAACTTTGCTGTCTCAGGCCAGTCAACAATCCAGAATTTGGAAAGACCACCGATGACAGTAGTGGCCAGTCCCTCGATGATGAAGATCTAGCGCCAGGCTTCGTATCCCGCAATACCACCCATGTTTGCAATTCCGTAGGCAAGAAGTTGTTCCGCGCTTGAGTAAGATTGAAGGTCTACCGGGAGATGGACTTACGCCACCTAAGCCCCCGGCTATGATACTAGCAGAGAAGAACATGATAAGTCTCCATTGCAACTGGTAGCGCTCGTAGTACATGGATATAAGATATATACAGCCTACAAGCTCATTTTCAGTACTACGGAAAGAATCTAACCATGGAACTGTTACCTGGAAAGAGTCCTGCTTCGAATAGACCGATAAGAAATCGACATGCAACCAAGCCGGCGAAATTTATTACTAGTCCCTGACCTATTATTATAATATCTGCACGTTATTAGCACTAAATCTTTATCTCATAAATCAGATTCATATTTAGTCTTTTATAATAGTATATCTCTACTATTTACTAGTAGTATAAAGATGCTGATATAGAATATATTATGTTTCTAAGAAATAGCAGTTTTATTATAATAATTATATAAGTATTATAAGAAGTAATTATAAAAGATTATTTAAAAAAAAGGTATTTAAATTTATTACTACTAGAATGCTTTTAACTAGAAGAGCTTATATAAAAGTAGAAGTTTTTATAATTTATATTAACTAATTCTTTCTAT